CGATAAAAGACAACTACCAGGATACTCAACACACAAATCCGGGGCACTCGATATTTCCTACATATTCTGGCAAAAGTCATGCCAAAATTCATGGAAAAATCCGGCATGACCTTTGCTAAAATAGGATATATCGAGCGCCTAAAATTTGCCGGAACGGGAATGAATCAACACTCCGGCAAAACATAGACCACTCGAAGGTGTAACCTGCAAACATGACCGGCCACTTGGATATTGAGCAACACAAGATATACATTTCAAAATATCTTATAAGACTCAAATTAGCATGCATTCAATAAGCAAAAGTAAATCATCTCATGCGTCCGTACATCGTCGAATATTATCACTAATACATCCCGAATAGTGTCATACATATAACATCACTAGTACAACTAAAACCCTAGCACATGGCGGGTATCGGCGTGGGCGGTGGACACCCACAGAGAAGGAACCATCACGGGATTATAGCTCCAGTGAGATCCCTGGAGAACCTGCCAGGTATTGGAGAACCTGTGCTCCAACGCAAACAAGTAGCGACGGACGTGCGCGTCCTCCTCACTGACACGGTGACGCACCACCTTCGCGGAGTCCTCGAGCCTCTGGACCGTCACTGGCCCACGCGACCGCCACCAAAGAAGGTTCGGGTCAACGACGGGCTGGCTCCTCACCAACCTGCGCCCCCCGGTAGGTAACGCCTCCCAGTACCACCCCGGCGGAGCCCAGTCCCGGACATGGCCCATCTGGTCAAGCAGGTGTCGTCCTCCACCGACTCGACGACGAGGATGCGGGATAGGCATCGTCCACGTCGATGCGGGAAAATTGCTTTAACTAAAAAAATAGCAACAAGTTCTTACTAACTAGTTCTATTAATTCAACTAGTTCTTACTAAAAATAAACTAACTATAAATAAAAATATTCTAGTACCTAATTAGTACCTAGTTCTTACTAACTAATTAGTACCTAAGAACTACTGCCCTAATTACCATCTAATTTGATGAACCTATAGGGGTGGAAAGTGGTAGAAACCCTAACTAATTTGATGGGGGTAGAAACCCTAGGCAGAGGTAGGGGAGAGGGAGGAGCAGGCATGCTCACCTCAGGTGCCTGCGACGAGGGAGGGGCAGGCGGCGTCGAGGTCGTGGTCGGGGCTCCGGGGCGGCGTTGAGGTCGGGGTCGGGGGGGCGTCCCGGGCGGCATTGAGGTCGGGGGCGGGGCCGGCGTTGAATCTAGGGTCGGGGCGGCATGGGGAGAGCGCGCGGCGGCCGAGGGGCGGCGGCGGCGGCGAGAGTGGAGTTGATTTGGGGGATGAAGTGGCCGGGGAAGGACGAACCGCGTGGTTAAGTCAGAAGTACCAGCAGCGCATTCCAGAAAGGGCGCTACTGCTACGTTAGCTACAACGCGTTCTGGAATGCACGCTGCAGCTAAGGAGATTAGCAGTAGTGCTGGGCCATTATACGCGCTACTACTAGGTTGGGCTAGCCATGTGCTCCCAGTTCAAATATAGCAGCAGCGCTTTTCGCTAGTACGCGCTATTGCTAAAGTCATAGCAGTAGCGCGGTTTATTTACGTGCGCTGCTACTAAGTAGCAACAGCGCTTGATTTTGTACAGCGCTACTGGTAAAATTCTGTGTATAGGTTTTTCCCTAGTAGTGACCATACCTACCTATCATGGCATTTCCATAGCCATTCCGAGATATATTGCCATGCAACTTCCATCATCATCATATACATGACTTGAGCATTCATTGTCATATTGCTTTGCATGATCGTAAGATAGCTAGCATGATGTTTTTATGGCTTGTCCGTTTTTTGATGTCATTTCTACGCTAGATCATTGCACATCCCGGTACACCGCCGGAGGCATTCATATAGAGTCATACTTTGTTCTAGACATTGAGTTGTAAATAAATAAAAGTGTGATGATCATCATTATTAGAGCACTGCCCCAGTGAGGAAAGGATGATGGAAATTATGATTCCCCCATAAGTCGGGATGAGACTCCGGACGAAAATAATAATAATAAATAAAAAAAGTGAAAGGCCAAAAAAAGAGAAGGCCAAAAAAAAAGAGAAAAAAAAGAAGACAAAAAAATGAGAGAAAAGAGAGAAGGGTCAGTGCTACTATCCTTTTTCCACACTCGTGCTTCAAAGTAGCACCATGTTCTTCATATAGAGAGTCTCTTGAGTTATCACTTTCATATACTAGTGGGAATTTTCATTATAGAACTTGGTTTGTATATTCCGATGATGGGCTTCCTCAAATGCCCGAGTCTTCATGAGCAAGCAAGTTGGATGCACACCCACTTAATTTCAGTTAGAGCTTTCATACACTTATAGCTCTAGTGCATCCGTTGCATGGCAATCACTACTCACTCACATTGATATCTATTGATGGGCATCTCCATAGCCCGTTGATACGCTTAGCTGATGTGAGACTATCTTCTCCTTTTTGTCTCCTCCACCATCATATTCTATTCCACCTATAGTGCTATGTCCATGGCTCATGCTCATGTATTGCGTGAAAGTTGAAAAGGTTTGAGAACATCAAAAGTATGAAACAATAGCTTGGCTTGTCATTGGGGTTGTGCATGATTTGAATATTTTGTGTTGTGAAGATGGAGCATAGCCAGACTATATGATTTTGTAGGGATAACTTTCTTTGGCCATGTTATTTTGAAAAGACATGATTGCTTTATTAGTAGGCTTGAAATATTATTGTCTTTATGTCAAAAGATAGTTTATTGCTTTGAATCACTTGTGTCTTAATATTCATGTCATGATTAGACATATGATCAAGATTATGCTAGGTAGCATTCCACATCAAAAATTATCTTTTTTATCATTTACCTACTCGAGGACGAGCAGGAATTAAGCTTGGGGATGCTGATACGTCTCCGTCGTATCTATAATTTTTGATTGTTCCATGCCAATATTATTCAACTTTCATACACTTTTTGGCAACTTTTTATATTATTTTTGGGACTAACATATTGATCCAGTGCCCAGTGCTAGTTCCTATCTGTTGCATGTTTTTGGTTTCGCAGAATATCCATATCAAACAGAGTCCAAACGGGATAAAAACGGACAAAGCTTATTTTTGGAAAATATGGAAAATTCGGAAGAAAAATCAACGCGAGCCAGTGCCCAAGGTGGTCACGAGGCAGGGGGGGCGCCCCCTACCCTCGTGAGCCCACCATAAGGCGGTTGACACTCTTCTTTTGCCGCAAGAAAGCTAATATTCGGAAAAAAATCACGGCGAAAGTTTCAGGCCAATCGGAGTTACGTATCTCCATATATATATGAAACGGTGAAACAGAGCCAGAAGAGAACGCAAAACCAGAGAGAAACAGAGAGATAGATCCAATCTCGGAGGGGCTCTCGCCCCTCCCATGCCATGGAGGCCATATACCAGAGGGGAAACCCTTCTCCCATCTAGGGAGGAGGTCAAGGAAGAAGAAGGAGGGGGCTCTCCCCCCTCGCTTCCGGTGGCACCGGAGTGCCACCGGGGGCCATCATCATCACCGCGATCTACACCAACACCTCCGTCATCTTCACCAACATCTCCATCACCTTCCCCCCTCTATCTACAACGGTCCACTCTCCCGTAACCCGCTGTACCCTCTACTTGAACATGGTGCTTTATGCTTCATATTATTATCCAATGATGTGTTGCCATCTTATGATGTCTGAGTAGATTTTCGTTGTCCTATCGGTGGTTGATGAATTGCTATGATTGATTTAATTTGCTTGTGGTTATGTTGCTGTCCTTTGGTGCCCATCATATGATTGCGCGCGTGGATCACACCATAGGGTTAGTTGTATGTTGATAGGACTATGTATTGGAGAGCAAGAGTGACAGAAGCTTCAACCTAGCATAGAAATTGATGCATACGAGATTGAAGGGGGACCAATTTATCTTAATGCTATGGTTGGATTTTACCTTAATGAACGTTAGTAGTTGCGGATGCTTGCTAATAGTTCCAATCACAAGTGCATAGAATTTCAAGTCAGGGATGACATGCTAGCAGTGGCCTCTCCCACATAATACTTGCTATCGGTCTAGTAAAGTAGTCAATTACTTAGGGGCAATTTCACAACTCCTACCACCACTTTTCCACACTCGCTATATTTACTTTATTGTTTCTTAACCTAAACAGCCCCTACTTTTTATTTACGTACTCTTTATTATCTTGCAAACCTATCCAACAACACCTACAAAGTACTTCTAGTTTCATACTTGTTCTAGGTAAAGCGAACGTCAAGCGTGCGTAGAGTTGTATCGGTGGTCGATAGAACTTGAGGGAATATTTGTTTTACCTTTAGCTCCTCGTTGGGTTCGACACTCTTACTTATCGAAAACTGTTGCGATCCTCTATATTTGTGGGTTATCAAGATAGGCCACGGCGACTGTCTTCCCCCGCCCCAAAACCAATTCTGATACGTGATTCATGAAAGCGACGGGAGGCTATTCTTCCTCTCTCGCTGAAGCATAACCCTTCTGGTACCTGGCGGTCCATTGAGCGGGCTGCCAGATATGGGGAAGACATGTCGTGGGAATGGGGTCCGCCATGGCCGGGCTTGGACTAGTTTTATGGAGCGCGATATAGTCTAGTAAAAATATGCCCAAATGTTTTCGTCCAGTTTGTATGAAAATCGTCTGGTTTGCATATAATTCGCCCGGTTTGTTTAAAAAATGTTTGAAATGTATGCAGGTAGCATTGGATGGCCGGGACTAATCTTCCCTTTTTAACGGACGAATGCAGAAGGAAATTTGCAGGTGAGCATTGGAGATGCCCTTAGCCTTTTTTTTTCTAGGGTAGGCCGCTAGCCCTTGGGTATTGTGGCAGATCTTGGACTCAGTTGGGCTTCCAAGCTTGGGCCATACCGGTGCCACTCGCGGAACAGGCCCGGTGCCCCTACCTCCTCCTCTCCGAATCCCGAGCTCCCACAAGAACTCCACCGATTCCGCCGGCGGGACTCCTGTCCGGGATACGCCGATCTAGAATGGCGGCCAACTTCTGGACGTCGTCGCACAGGTAAAGGCGCCGGCACGCGCACCCTCTCTCGGCCGGTGTAGTACCGCACCAAGTTGCTCCGTGAATTTTGAGCTGCTAATTCGGTGCGCCATGACTCCGTGCGAGCAGCAAGCAGCTGCTGGACCCGGAGGATGTGGACGTGGTGCCGGCGCAAGACCGGGAGCGGGGCGTCACGCCCGTGGAGTTCCGCCTCGTCAAGATCCACATGTCCTTCCGTGAGCTCCTCCTCCGCCGTCATCCCCATCCTGTTTTCTTTTGCTCTCTCTAGTATCTCGTCCGTGCAGATTAGCAGTAGTCTGTTTAGTTTATAGCAAGCCTTAAATGTGCATTTTTTGGTGTAATTACGGTTGGGATGGGGTGCTGTGCCGCGAAGCATAGGACGATTGGGTTCCCCTACGGCGAATTATAGAATTGGCGATAAGCCCGACCGTTAATAGATGTGGATTTTATAGCGTTTAATGTGGCAACTGTGGTTTGTTTTGAAGTTTGGAAAATCCAATGTTTGGGATGGCCGTTGTATGGTACACAACCATACCCATGGGTGTAGCGTGACATGTGCCTTTGTAGCATAAAATTCGCCATAACGCGTGGTGAACATTTTCCTACCATTTCTGCTAAAACAAATATCTCACAGTCACTGTTTTTATACCGAATGGAGAATATCTTACAGCCTTCTCATTCTACTTGAGCAATTTCGCTGACGCAAGTTATGCATTTCTTATTTTGTCAGTAACTAGCACAACCCTAGCTATAAATTATAAGTAGTAATCTAGCTATATGTATAAAAATGTAAAAATAAGTAGCAATTTAGATTTTAGTATGCACTTAAATTCACTCCATTCGAGTTGTAGCAGTCACGGGGTAAATACCATCGTGATGATGGCAGTGAGTCACTGCTTGCTTTGGTGAGAGAAGATAATAAAAATGGGGATGGACTCATTCTTTCTTTGCAGCCCACACATATAGATGGGCTAGGCTAGCCCCTAACAACATAATGTAATAGAAATATGTAACAGCATTATCTCATCTATGCGAATCTTACATAAAGCAACTAAAGAACTAATAAATCACTTTGCTGCCTGCTGGAATCCGGATGGGCACATTACAATATCTTAAAAGAATTTATGGGCATTCTGCATTTGTTTTTTCCTCACAGAGTGCATCTGATTATTTCAGATATATGGCGGTTGGCCCAGCAGGTCAAAGTTAGACAAAGGTTAGAGACATTGTTCCATTTCCATAACTGTACCTTTGTTTATAGTTGTGTATGATATCTGTAGACTTCAATGATCAAACAAACTTGCGCGTTTTTTGCTTTAGACCATAGCAGGATTTTCTTCTACAGTAATACGTACAGTTACATTCTTGAAGTGGGTACCTTTGTATCTAAAAAAGTTAACATATTGGCATATACTCCCTCCGTTCCTAAATACTTGTATTTCTAGGCATTTCAACAAGTGACTACATACGGAGCAAAATGAGTGAATCTACACTCTAAAATATGTCTACATACATCCGTATGTAGTAGTCATTTGAAATGTCTAGAAAGACAAATATTTAGGAACGGAGGGAGTATATTGCTGGTTTACTACCTGAGGCACATTACATTGCTTGGTGTTATTTATTCTTTTCCTCATGAAGTTCTTATTTCTAACTTCTCTGTGGAGTTTGGTTAAACTTCAAGACTGAAATAGTGATACCGAAAGCTAACTGCTTTTAAAAGGGAAAAAAATTCCAGCAGCATTCCCATCTCCTTTATATGTAGGGTGCTGCAATTTTTGTTAATGGGTGCTACTGCATATCCGTTACTCCAGTTTTTTTAATGTCTGCTACTGAATCGCTCACTTATCCAGTTTATGATATGTTGTCCATTCTCCAGTAGACCTATCTGGAATTAACTCACGATGCTGACGATCTTAAATCATTGTTATCTCAGAGTCATAGCTACTGCAATCACATACTTCAGGCGTGTCTACACAAGGTATGATTATCTATTTAATAATAATGCATCAGAGAGAAAGAATGCCCCTCTGGTTTCTAATTTTGCTATCTGAATTTGACTATTTTGTACTAGCCAGAGAAATGAGAACATGGTATTACTTTTTAGTCTGTAATAGATGTCGTGCTACTAAGAAATTAGCAAGTATATTCTTATGATGTAAAATGACCAACTTACAGCGCAGTTAGAACAGTATACTTACTTAAAAAAAGTAAGAACAGTATGCCGTGATTGTACATGTTTAGCTATTTCTCAAAATTTTCCGTGAAAACTTGTGTGCTTCATTCAGAACTCTATAATTCACCTAGCTTCATTCAGAACTTGTGTGATTGTAGATGTGAGGTTCTTATAAACTTGCTTCCATCAGAATTGGTATGATGGCTTCAACCAGAAATCTTTAAAATTTAATTTACAAATAGTATACTTCAAGCATCAAACTCGTGTTTCTGTATTTTCTGTCAGCAAATATTGGATGTGAAGGATCATATTCATTGCCTGTTTCTACACAATTCCTTTTCTAATGGAACTTAAGCATTCAGAACTGTGTGTTTCCAGTTAAATAATAATAATTCAGAACTACGTCCGAGTCTATTTACAGAAAGAGCATGACAGAGTATGATCCTCGTTTGGTAGCACCAGCTTGTTTGTATTTGGCATCAAAGGTAGAGGAAAGCACAGTGCAAGCAAGGCTTCTTGTATTTTACATCAAGAAGATGTGTGGTGAGTCTCCTGATCATATAGATAGACCCATGCTTACCTGGAAGGCTGGAAGAGCTGCACAGCCTACTAACCATTTATTCTCCTTCCCCTAAATTGTAGGTTCTGATGACAAGTACCGATTTGAAATCAAAGATATCCTTGAAATGGAAATGAAGCTCCTGGAAGCACTCGACTATTATTTGGTTGTTTACCATCCATACCGTCCTCTTCTACAGTATGGCTTTGTTTCCCCTATCATCTCAATAGCAATGACATTTCCACTAGAATTGAAGCTTTTCTGCAATGGCACTGAGAGATGTTCTGCTTTACAGGTTATTGCAGGATGCTGGCATAACAGATCTGACACAATTTGCCTGGTAAGCATATCTTCTTGAATAAGAATGTGGTATCATATTGAGGACCACGTGCTGCTAATCTGCCATGGAACTTGTCGTCCTTTCTAATTTTAGTCACACCGTGTACTGTTTTTCTTTTTGTGGATGGAAGTTGAATTCTGTCATATGCAAGAAAAGTTCTTTGATATACTTTAGTGATAGTGGTTGTTAAAATTAGCCTTCTCTTTTTTGAATCATTTTATTATGAGTGATTTTAGTCGGAGCAAATGGACTGCCCTTTTAGTGCCCCCTTTTAGAATTTGTCTGCACATGTATTTCATTTAAATGAAGAACATTTACATTCCATATGTCTGGAACATTCCTGTTAGGAATGCAGGACCGTGGGGATAATACAAATGCCTCTACCGTGTCTTCCTTCTCACTTAAGTATAGTAGTACGACGAGATAAATATCTTTTATGTGGAATAGCGGGGACAACAAATATAAGTGAAAATACTTTTTATTTCTGATTTATGGTATGCTCAGTCATACACGACCTATATCTATGTTGATAAGACACTGTTACTTGCAGGGGCCTTGTCAATGATACTTACAAGATGGATCTCATTCTCATATATCCTCCTTATATGATTGCATTGGCCTGCATATACATTGCAAGCGTTCTTAAAGATAAGGACACAACCTCGTGGTTTGAAGAACTCCGCGTTGACATGAACATTGTAGGCGTTCCTCTGATATTTTCCCCATCGGTTGGCAATTTCATTATGTCCTCATATTAACGATCGACACTCCTTTTCAACACTCAGGTTAAGAATATCTCAATGGAAATCTTGGACTTTTACGACACCTACAAGATTGATCCTCAAAGGGGCCTCCAGGAGGACAAGATCATCCCTGTGATGAACAAGTTGCCATCAAAGGCCTGAAGGCTGATCTGACACCTGACCGTTTAACCACCTTATAACGCTTATCATCTGGATTGTGTTAACCCCGTAACCCTAAACATCTTCGAAGGCAAGATCCAGGGAATGCCCTGGGACTTCGATGACATAAATTGTTAGGTGATTAGGCGCAAGTTATTTAGGGGGTAGTCTGTAATACTTGGCATCTGATTTCTGCATCATCCAAAACCCAAGTGAAATTGTTTCAACCTGAGCCCTGTTTGTTGGCTTCTTCTTAGAGTTACTCCATTTATCTGAAACCTAGTACCATCTCAGTTATGCAATCTGGCATCTCCAGCATTGACCATGTTTGCCCGTCAGAAGCCCGCGGTAGAAAGCTCGGCACTCCTGTAAGCATGACAGCCGGTGACCTCACACCAGACCCGAGTGGGCAATCTACCCTTTCAGCTATGCCGCCTACAGCGGTGTGGTAGTCAACGTGCCTATCATTGATCAGGACTGAAACGTAACACACGGGGGCACATCATAAGAACACACCAATACTGAAGATGCTATCCACTGTTTTATCTCAGCTTCAAGCTTAATCTCAGTTACATCATAGACCAACCATCTAATGATACGTACAGCAGTCAACTTAATCAATTGTTCATCTGAGCACCTGCTACAGGTTCCTCAGCAACCATAATCTATGTGATGATACTCTTTGGCGATTGATCCGATGCTGACCTGAAAACAGATTTCACAGGAAGATGTTAGTCCAACGGCACTGTATTTGACGAGTGTGCCCAGGTGAAAAAAACTTGCAGATAGGCAGAAGGGCTCACCTTAACCATCCGAGTTCGGAAGGTAAATACGATGGAAGTTGTTCTTCCTCAGGGCCTTGCGGCAAGTAGGGCATTTCTTCTGAAACTGGATGGCTTGCTTGATGCACTCTGCGCAGAAGATATGGCCACATTTTGTTGTCGAAGGCTCCACCAGCTTGTTAAGGCACACCGGGCAAGTGAAATTCGGTTCCTTTGGAACCACCACCTTAGCAGGCTCTTGGCTAATTTGCACCGCATTGTTCGACTGCCGAGACGGAAACATACAGTTATAGTTGAACAAAAATTGTAAGCAGTAAGGCCAACAAGAACTGGGCACAAGGTTCAAACGCATGGAGAAAAATGGAGGGGAACTTCTACCTTGTTCCAACATATCCTCTAGCGTACTGCGTAACCATATCAATGCATGGCATCTATGCTACACAAGGTAAGATGGTCCTTGAAATTTAGCGGTTGCCAACTTGTCGGTGCAAAATTAAAATCTTTACAGTTAGCAGCTACCAAGAACAATATTAAGAGACCTATATGGCATCATCACAAAATTACACATATGAGTGTCTTATTATTTATCTATGGCTTGTAACAGAACAAGAAAAATATTGTCTACTTAAATCAAAGAACCTTCACACTCGTAGTTCACTAAAAGGGCAGGATATCTCAGAACTCTACAGGAAGGATAAAGACGAGCATATACCAAGCAGCTGCTATATACATAGAGGACAAGGTAGATAGCAGCTAAGTAGCAACTACGCGGTGTCTTAAAGCTGTGAAAGTGTTCCCTTAAAAAATTACAGATTTTACCTGCAGGCTGGACCCTTCTTCCCTTTCTGGGGAGAGACATATCAAAGGCGCAACCCTTTGGCGTTTGTTCCACGTGTTATGAGAAGGCATAGCTGCATTATCTACATGAAACAGTACTGATTGAGTAAATCATAAAGCAGAATGACAAAGTTGTGATTAATCTAAATTGACTCGGAATCAGATAGCATATGATGAACATGTTTACATCTTGTACTTAAGCTTTCCAGATTCAATGTTCATACACATGCATTGTCTTACAACAAACAACTGCAATGTGAAATTCAAAGAAGAAAACTTCAAACAACGAGTCTAATTCTGAGCAGCTTATGTTATGATTGCTTCCACATTTGAGAACCCAACAATATACTGTGCTGCTCACGATTTCAACAGTTCTAGACAAATCTATCAACACAAATCATATTAAACTGATGCAGAATTTATTCCCAAATTCTTTTATGTTAGAAGCTAAACATTTCTATCAAGTGCAGTATATGATAAACTAACCTTCCAGGGCAGCATCTTCATCCAGATAAAGTGGTGTCAAAAATTGACTTCTAGTTCTCCGATTCTCTGCAATGGGAAATTTAAAGAAGAAAACGTCAAACAATGAGTCTAATTCTGAGCAGCTTATATTATGATTGCTTCCAGATATGAAAAATAGATGTCCTCATGTTATGGGTAAGAACCCAACAATGTACTGTGTTGTTCATGATTTTGACAGTTCTAGAAGAATCTATCGACACAACTCATATTAAACTGATGAAGACTTATCCCCAAATTCTTTCATGTTGGATGCCAAACATTTCTATCAAGTGCAATATATGTAGCTAACCTTCCATGGCAGCATCTTCATCAAGATAAAATGGTGTCGCACATTGCCTTATAATTCTCCAATTCTCTGCAATGGGAAATTCGAAGAAGAAAACGTCAAACAATGAGTCTAATTTTCAGCAGCTTATATTATTATGGTTGTTTCAACATGTGAAAAATAGATGTCCTCATGTTATGGATAAGATCCCAGCAATGTACCGTGTTGTTCATGGTTTCAACAGTTCTAGAAGAATCTACCAACAGAACTCGTACAAAACTGATGAAGAATTTATACCCAAATTCTTTTATGTTGGAAGCCAAACATTTCTATCAAGTGCAATATGTAGTAAGTAATGAACTTACCTTCCAGGACAGCATCTTCATCCAGAGAAAATTGTGTCACAGGTTGCCCTCTAGTTCTCCGGTTCACCCCCTGCAAAATGCAAGGTAGTTTGATAAAACTGATCCATGATTATAGATAAATTCCTAGCAGGAAAACCTGAGCAAGAAGTACACTAAACACTAGTAAGTGGTGCATACACAGACTCTGTTTCTTAAACATCACCACGGACCCAATGGCATAACATTTTATTCTTGAAAAGTGAAGTGCATGGTGCATCATTAAAAGACGAGGATAAGAAATTTACCGGGGGAGGCACTTGTGAAGGCGATAGGGCCTGCACTTCATCATCGAGAGCTTCCACATCAATAGGCGATGTGCGTGCACCAGGGAAGACCGAGAGCCCATGATGGTTCCCCGCCACCGGCGAGCTTGCATCCAAGTCCACAACAACTTTATCAGCAGATCCATCCAGCGATTGCCTCCTTGCGGCACGCCGTGCGCCGCTGGTATTACTCATGCTATGTACTCCCTCTGATGCTTATACTCACCTTACCTCCCTTCAGTTCTATATAACCAACCTGAATTTTAAGAGCGTTGTCAGTCTCAACCCATCGTCCTACAATTATTTGTGCACAATCGACAAGGATAACGACTTCGCATTACATGAACCCAGCCCAGCCATCCTAAAAGTGGTACTATTATATACAAATAGGTAAACACGCCAAAACTTTTGATCGCAACTTTAGACTATCTTGGCAAAGCCATTCTGCAATACTAGCAACAATATAATAACAAAAAAAAAAACAAAGGCTTCACCAGAAAAGGAGCAACCGGATAGACTTTTCTTCCCCCTTTTGTGAACAATCGCATTTGGGGAAGTGAATCGCAGATGGTCATACTCCTACTACTATTGGGGCATAAATCCTAATCCTAATCCGGTAGAATCCGGTGGATAATAGCCAGGAATGGACGGAGAAAACGAGAGCAGGAAGGGATGCCCCTTAAATCCTAACCCGGACGGAGAAGATCTGTCCAATCGACGAGCAGCCCGCGCGGCGGGGACTTGGGGCAGAGTCGAGCGAGGCCGATCCAAGGATCGGTACGGCGACCGGATCAAGAACCCCTCCCCCGGTCGCGGTCAGATTCCGATCGAATCGAACGTGAACAACCGGGAGAGTCTAAGAAATACAGATCGATGGATATACAGAGAGCGATTCGCGCTTACTCGAGCGCGGCGATCGAGGGACCTGATGAGGGTTTGAGGCAGAGTCGCCCAGGCACGCACGCCACCACCACCAACCGACGAACTGGACTTGAATGTGTCTCCCTCCTCTTCGCCCGGCGTTTAAAAGGGGGGAGCGATGAGCGGCGCGGTTCACTCTTTTTTCCTCCCTCGCCGGGCCCCACTTGGAAGTCGGATCCCTTTCGTGCCGTGGGACCGTGTGTCAGGGGGTGGGGGGTCGTGTCGAGGCGGGGGTGGTCGCCGGGGATTATTTTTGGGGGGATCGGCGGCGGTGAGGCCGGCCCACACGTGTTCGTGCTCCTCGTCGCCGGGGCACGGTGGGCTGGCTGGGTAGGCGTGCGCAGATGGTCGGACGAGGAGGAGGGGGGATGGGAGGATAGCGGTGGGAAGACTTGGCGGTTGACCCTGGGATCGGATCCCACTATCCCACGTCTTAGGCCAACTCCATCGCGCCACCCTATTCTGTCCGGCCCCGTCCATTTGAGGTAAAAGAAACAAAGGAGGCGACCCAGCACGCGACGGTCCGGACCCATCTTGTCCGTTTTGTATCCGGACCGACTCATTTCGAGCACAAACTTGCGCCGGGTTTGGGTCGCGGAGGACACTAAACGGACGCACGCTCGTCCGCGTCGGGGCCGCGTGGCAGGCGGCCACCCACCTCCCACCCACCCACATCAATGCGCACGAGCGGGCGGCCCCACCTGTCATCCGCACGTCGAGCGGTCGCCGTCCTTCTTTAAGTAAGAAGCGTGGACGGGTCGTCGTCCACACTGCCCCACGCCACCGTCCAGCCCGCCCTCGTCCACCACGCACCTCCGGCCCACCTGTGGACGCCGCCGGAGTACGTCGACCTCGTCAGCGACGACGACGACACCGGCGGCCAGTGAAGACGGCGACGACCACGGCACCGACGGGCGCGGCAGGAGTGCGCGGGAGGCGGAGGCGTTTTTTTATTTTGTTTTATATGTTAACTATGAAAAATGGGCCTTTTAAGTGGCCGTGGAAACTGGGCCGTTTTGTGGCCGCCCCCTATATATATTTTATGTTTCTTTAAAATGTGTTTGTTTGGTTTTTTAGTTATTTTGTTTTAGTTTTAATATTTTTTTTATTCACGTCCACTCCGGACATGATTTGGGGTGCGGCCGCGCGATGCGCGCACGCACGACCCATCTGATAAAGGCGGACACGGGCGAAACCCATTGGCGCCCCAAAGGGACAAAATCCGGCCAATTCGAATGTCCATTTAGGGTCGTGCGGTAGAGTTGGCCTTATTGCGTGTGCGCAGACGTCTGCAGACGCACGTAAATTGCGCACTTGGTGCCGAAATTAGTCAATATCAGCGGCGATTTGCTTAGACTTTTGCGTGTAAATAAAGCTGATGCTTAAACTTGTCACGAATATTCAGTTTCTGAACTTGAAAAAATTCACTAAACTAAAACTGGTTATACAACTGGCATGAATGTGTATATATAGTGCTATTTTTTTATTTTTAAATGAGGATGTAAAAGTGCGCCGACGTAATTATTCACAAAATACAGTGCTAATGTCATCCGCGGGCGTAAAAGTGCGCCGACGTAGCACCATATATAGCTGGCATGGCCGTATATAGCTGACATGGCATCGACATGTCGTGGGGCCCACTTGTAAGACAAAAACAGGGCTTCCCAAATCCGGCACCGAATAACGTCCACGGGGCGTCCGAACGCGTCCGCGGAGAGTGATCGGAAAATACTTAAATCGACGTGTCAAAAGTCGTGTATCTCAAATCCGATACTTTATATTCATATTAAAGCACACAACATGAAACTAAATTATGTAGATCATCAAACGGTCATATAAATGCACATAATCCACATACCGATAACCAAAAGATCACCATAGTTCACATGATCCACACAATCAACGCATATGTTCTAAACTAGATTACTAATAACGGAAATAAACACTTAGAGAGGGCGTGCTTCACCACTTCCTCGCCAGCTCTTTGCCCTTCCGGTCACCGGCGCTTTTGTAGGTGTCCGGGTAGGCAGCAAGAGGTGCGTCGTCGAAGCCATCGTTTTTAGAGTCGTCAATGATATTGGGGGGGGGGGAGGAGGAGTCTTTGTGTTTTTTCGATGGAGTTGGCAGGCGTCCGTCTCCACCGTCGTAAGAGAGCGGCAACAGACCCAGTCAAGGAAGCGAACCCCATCATCGGGCACCACCGGCAGCCCACGGCGGCGGGAGGACCATGCGACCGCATCCGAGGCCACCACCCACATCTCCCTAGCCCACTACCGCTCGCAGAGGACGACACGGGCCTCCGATTTAGGCGAGCGCGTCCACGGCGTCGACGGAGCAGGCACTAAAACCCACTGCTGCCTTTACGGAGTAGTGACTCGAGGGTTAGGAACGAGGCGCGGAGCGGGTGCACCTCGCAGAGCTCTACGTGGCGGCGGGACGGGCCCACACCAGCATCGGCGTTGTGGCGGCGGGCGTCTAGATGAGATCATTTCCGAGGACTTATTAAATAGGGGTGCTTTTTCTACGAATATAATCAATTCCATAATGCTATCCGCTTTGACAAGGGATGGAGTAGAGCCAGAGATGCCGCTCGTGTCCACCCACTAGTGCTGCAGCGCGATGCGAAGGGTTAGATCCTCCTCGTGCCCGCCACATCAGGGCGGAATGCGTCCCAATCATAACAGGATCTATTCACCGCTGCCGGAGCTGGATATGGTGGATGTGGAAGTGGATGGGGTTGAATTGAGGAAAGGCATGAGAAGATTTGGAGAGTGATACGTTTCCAACGTATCTATAATTTTTTATTGTTTCGTGCTATTATATTATCTATTTTAGATGTTTTATATGCATTAATATGCTATTTTATATTATTTTTGGGACTAACTTATTAACCCAGAGTCCAGTACCAGTTTATGTTTTTCCTTATTTTTGAGTTTGATATAAAAGAATATCAAATGGAGTCCAAACTGAATAAAACTTTATAATGATTTTTCTTGGACCAAAAGACACACGTAGGACTTGGGGTGGAAGGCAGAAGAGTCCCGAGGGATCCACAAGCCCTCAGGGCGCGCCCTGGGGGGTGCCCCCTCGGCTTGTGGTTCCCACGGGAGTCCTCCAACCCTAATCTTTGGCCTATAAATTCAGAAATATTCCCAAACCAATAGAAGCATCCACCAAAATACTTTTCTGCTGCCATAACCTTTTGTACCCGTGAGATCCCATCTTTGGGCCTTTTCCGGCACCTTGCCGGAGGGGGATTCGATCACGGAGGGCTTCTACATCAACCCTATTGCCATTTTGATGAAGTGTGAGTAGTTTACCACAGACCCGCGGGTCCATAGCTAGTAGCTAGATGGCTTCTTCTCTCTCTTTGATTCTCAATACCATGTTCTCCTCAATGTTTTTGGAGATCTATCCGATGTAATATTCTTTTGCGCTGTGTTTGTCGAGATCCAGTGAATTGTGGATTTATGATCAGATTATCTGTGGATATTATTTGAATCTTCTCTGAATTTTATATGCATGATTTGATATCTTTGTATTTCTCTTCGAATTATCGGTTTGGTTTGGCCAACTAGATTGGTTCTTCTTGCAATGGGAGAGGTGCTTAGTTTTGGGTTCAATCTTGCGGTGTCCTCACCCGGTGACAAAGTAGGGGTAGCGAGGCACGTATTGTATTGTTGGCATCAAGTGTATTAAGATGTGGTTTTCATCATATTGCTTGAGTTTATCCCTCTACATCATGTCATCTTACTTAAGGCATTACTCCGTTCTTTATGAACTTAATACTCTAGATGCATGCTGGATAGCGGTCGATGTGTGGAGTAATAGTAGTAGATGCAGAATCATTTTGATCTACTTGACACAGATGTGATGCCTATATGCATAATCATTGCCTTGGATATCGTCATAACTTTGCGCTTTTCTATCAATTGCTCGACAGTAATTTGTTCACCCACCGGATTATTTGCCTTCAAGAGAGAATCCTCTAGTGAAACCTATGGCCCCCGGGTCTATTTTCCATTATATATTTTCAGATCTATAAACCAAAAAACCCAAAAGTATCTCGATGCATTTTATTTACTTTTACTTTGTCTTACGTTTTAGTAATTTTTATATCTAAATCTATCAGATCTCACCTTTGCAAGTGATTGTGAAGGGATTGACAACCCCTTTATCGTGTTGGGTGCAAGTGTTTGATTGTTTGTGCAGGTGCATAGATTGAGGACTTGCTTGTATCTCCTACTGGATTTGATACCTTGGTTCTTAACTAA